CTGACTGTGATGACAGAAGACTAACTACAATGATTGTAAGATGAATATACAAATTCAACGTTGCTAATGATAATGACGACTAGGCAACATTGGTCGGACACATTTGTATTGATAACAAGGGACGATGATCGGTTGATGGCTATTCAACAATGGACGGTTGATGGTGGCAATGATGTCAATCAAGTGATGGCAGTCTGACGATAACTATTGTGGTGGCAGTGATTGCCTAAGGCTTGTAACTATCATTGGAGAATGGGTAGTCGACTATGGTTTAGAGATATTTGTGGCTAGGAGACAATGATCTGATGATGACAACAATAGCAATAGCTACTTCAACTGCGAGAAAATAACCTTTTGATGATGGTAGTTACAATCGAGTGACGATGGTAAGACAAGGGTGGTAGCAACTAGGTGACCTTCGCCAGTGAAACATATTGATCGACGACGATGGTGATAGCGATGATCTAGTGAAGGTGGTCTGATGAGGACAACAATGGTGGTGGTGGAGGCCAAGTGGCGGTGTTTTATTGCCAACTACAATGGTTGAACAGTGTGATTCAACGATTATAATGGTTGGGTGATGGTGATAGGGATAGTAGAGCAATGACAGTTTAGTGGATGTGGCGGCAGACAACGATAATCTAACGGTGACACAAGTGATAAAGAAAGTGGTGGAGCAATGGGGGAACTCTGGAATCCTCAGAAGTTAGAGCTCCCATTAATCTTCTCATCCAGGTTCAACCGCCTTCATGAAGAGGGTGGGGACATCCTCATAAGTTTATCATATTTGGAGATCATTTGGTCTCCTAAAGTATGTTCTAAATCTTCTATTTATGCTTTAAGTGCATGATGCGAGTTTACTTGGACTCAATAGATCATTTTTTTTTTCATTTGCTTTGCTTACTAATATACACTTAATTTGGATAAGAGTAGATAATTCTTAATTAAGTATTTGAAGTTGCTGATCCCAACATGTGTCAAGACTTGTGATTAAGATAACTTTTTGAGGATTTAACGTAAAATATAAAGAATGTGAATTTTTCTAAATATTATTTTTAAAATTATTACAGATTATAGAGTTTTCCATCATAAGAAAATCAAATAATAATTTTTACAGCTATTAATGATTGAAATTTCTCAAAAATTAGGAAAAAAACTATGGCTTAACAAACTCTAATAACTATTTGAAGAACGAAATTATCGAAGCTGTCCTAAACGCACCCCAAGGGCCACATAAATAAAGACAACTATTCAAATAACAAGTTATATCATGATATTGAATGCTTCTCATGTATCAATGTAAAGGAATACTTATCAATGGTGATGATGATTTTTCTTAAATTTTTTAGCCTTCTTTCCCCTGCCTCGGTGTTTAACCGAGCATGCCCTTCTCCAAGGGAATGTACATAGGCACCACTCAATTTTTCATATCACATAAAAAATATCATTATATTAACTTTCAAAAATTAAATACACTCTTTTACTTATGAATAGAGTCGGTGGTAAAATTGAAATTTAGGAATTAGATATATAAATACATATGAATCGAGTGATAATGCATGCTTTTTTAATTTTTTCAACTCTTAATATTTTAGTTTACTTGTCTCTTATTGGTTGAGCCGTCCCATCGACAACACGGCAATTAAGCTTTTTTTTCTTCTTACTACTTTTTTTTCCATTTCACACCTCTAATTTAATAGCATCGAGTCATCAGTGCATATTTACGCTTTTATCCTTCACTAATTTGAAAAAAATAAAAAAAATCAACATTATCCTTGTATTACTAAATACGATGTTTTGGTAAGCTAATCACGTTTATGCCATATAAAATGGTTGAAAGCTAACAATGACCAACTTAATTTCTTCTCTTATATGTTCTAGAAGGTTTTTCATTATCAATCTCCAACTCTATTGTTCCCACACAACTTCACAAAACACGAGCGAGCCCATGATCCACTGGTGTTCAGCTCATTTATATTTTGAGCTCAAAAAGTATGTTCGTGTTCGGTTCGTTTGCTTAACAAGCCGAACACGAGCTGTTCACGAACAAAAAGTCGTTTTGATTAGGTAGCCATAAGATATTAAGAGTTGGGGCAAGATTTAAAAATTATTTTTTATATTAAATCATTTGAATCTAATTTAATATTTTTTTATTTTATTTTTTTAATTAATACTTTTAATTGACTATAAATCTTCGTAGCCTTGTAGACAATTAATTTTTTTTTAATATTATTCATATATATATATACGAGCCTCATTCATCCCTCATGCTCCTATAATTTGAGGACCACGCTCTACACACTTGGGGGAATCAAACCCCAAACCAGAGCTAACTTATAACTGACAAACAGATGTCTGACCAACTGATTTGAGTATGCGATATATATATATATAATTGATGAGTAGTATTTCGAGCCAAAACGAGTCGAACAAGAACGAACAAATCATTGTTCGTGTTCAGATCATTAACTTAGCGAACGAGCCTAACACGAGCTTTTTAACGAGTCGAAGTCCACGAACAACGAGCCGTTTGACAAGCCCTACTGACAGGGGGGCTAACTGGTAGTGGGCAACGCTACAATGGTGGTGGTGACAAGTAGGAGGTGGCAGCCGACAAGTGACATTCATGGTATGTGACATATTCAGAGCCCAACAGAATCAAAACAAATTTGAAATACACTGTGAATGAAATAGATGTTTAATTTGAAATTCTTTTAAGTTTTAGTCCATGATCTATTTTCCTTATAACAAGTACGACTTTACAAAATACCAATGACACCCCAATTTTTGCAACAATACAACACTTTTACCAATATAAATTTGATGAGATTGAAAACTATGTATTATAAATTTGTCTTGAATCTCAATATTTGAGTGGACATCTGAAAAAAGGAAAGGGAAAAAAATCCTTTTAAAACTAATTAAAATTTAAAGGGTGTCTTCTAGAGGTGTAAATAAATCGAACACGAACTAACAGAGCTTGTGTTCGTGCTTAGTTCGTTTGAAATTTAGTTTGTTTGAAATAAGTTCATGTTCGAAATTGTTCATGAAATCACTGTTCGTGTTCGTTTCTTAACGAACGAGCCGAACACGAGCTGTTCGCAAACGACGAGCCAGTTTGGCATCCCTAATATTAATATATATAAATAATATATTATATTAGTTATATAACTTATATTATATAAATATATATAAATATATAATATTTATATTTGTATATTACTAATATAGTATATATTAAGTTATTATATAATATAATTTATAAATTTTTATTTTTTAAAATACCATAAACTTTTTATATATAATTATTTTAAAATATTTTATATTTCGAACAATAACGATTCGAACACGAACGAACGCATCACTGTTCATGTTTGGTTCGTTTAACTAACCGAATGAAAAAAATTTGTTCACGTTCGTCTCGTTTAATTATCAAACAAATCGAATGCGAACTAATTTGACGAACGAAACACTAAGTGTTCGTAAACAACGAGCTTTTTTGATAGCCGAGTGTCTTCTTCACACGTTTGAGGATAGGATTAGTCATGTCAAAATAAAATTGTTTTTTTTGCAAAATAAAAATTATTATGCGGTCTGATCCCAAAAATTCTTTAAAATTTCCAAAAATTTACATTAGTGGTTTGGAGAACCTATGTTTTCTGATGTAACATACAGTAAGATAGTTTTCACAGCTAGCCTGCCACCGAAGTCAAGGCTGCCAATTTTTTCCACCTCCAAATGTTAGAATTTATGACCAACTAATAGGTTGACTTGGATCTCTTCTTTATCTGTCTTAACCCTTGAGCCTTAATTTTAGACCAAAACCCATATTACGAACTTGCTTGGTGGGGCTTTGATTCATTAACATTGAACGAAAAAAAAAAAAAACCTCTTTTATGTAAAAAAATATATCCAAATGATTTAAATGAGTTAGCCTTGGAGGCCGATAATTTCCCTCTCTCGCTCTGATTTCTCCCGCTCCTGCTACAGAATCTCGCTCCCGATCGCAAAACCCGCGAACCTCTCCCGCTTCCGTCTCCCGCTCGGTCGCAAACTGTTCCCACAAACAGTTCGTTGTTTCGCGAAGAGTCGCGTCTGTCGCGACAATTCCCTTCATGTTCGTGATAAAGGCTTTGAATGGCTCTCCTTGGTTTCTAATCCACGTTTTTGGTATTCTTCTTAGGGCTTTCTCGGGATAGAAGAAGGAAAGTGCAAGCAGTAGTTCCTTGCAGCAAAAGAAAGAAGAAAGAATAAAGAAGAAGAAGAAGATTGTTCTCCTTTAACTTCTTCTTGGTGGCTTGTGGTAGAAGACAAATTTAGTTTATTTCTCTTATAAGTTTATCTTCTTCAGTGTATCTCAGTGTAGAGTTTCGTCAGTGTATCTCGGTGTAGACAGAGAAGAACAGAGAGCAATGAAGTGAGAGATTCCTCTTATAAGTCGAGACCATCGATTGTTGTAAATTTTTCAAGTAATAAAATTCTCTGGAACTCCGTGACGTAGATAATTTGCAGAACCACGTAAATATGTGTTCCTCTGTGTTATTGTTTTATGATATGAATTTTTCTCATTCTATTTTTTGTTTCGCCGATCGTTAATTTATTTATATATAGCACATCAAATGTTATATATATATATATATATATGTTATCCCAACATTTGACACACTACTCGTTTGAAAATTAAAAGGCTCTCACTATAAAATAAAAGGCAATTTAACTTATCGAAGATATATTTGATTATGAAAAAGTCAAACTTTACCAATGAAAAATATAGAAAGTAGAAATTCATTCTTTTCCACCCAAATAAGTCGAAAATAATAAATTTTTAACCGAAATGCCCAGACCTCAAAGCCTAATTTTCCTCACCAGTTCCTCATCAACCCAACCCCATCCATAAAAAAATCAAATCCATACATCAGAAATTCTTTATTCAATACTATGCATATATAATCCTACATACAAATCAATCAACATACCAAAACTCCCCTCTCAATCAAAAAAACCCAAACAAAAACCAAAAAAAAAAAAAAAATCAGAGCTTTAATCTGAACTTACAGTTACTAGCCTTCAGGCTAATCAAATTGCCAGCAGTCAGACTATTAACCACGAGATCACACCTCACCCTCGCCTTCACCTTCCACAATTTCAATCCCCCGAGCTTCACCTTCACCGGCACATCCCCCTTAAACTTCAACGGAACACTCCCCGTTTGCTGCTGCTGCTGCAACACCGATATAAGCTGACTGCCCAACTGCGCCTCCCCATTCAGCGACGTCGTCACCGTCGTCTTATTCCGATGCCCCTGATAGAACACCGGAAAGCTCCCCGAGCACAAACTCGCCCCATCGTACAAAACGCTGAGACTGCTTCCGTCCTCGTAATAGATCCCGATCTTCTTGTTAGGGTTGTAGGCGGTGACCGTGAGGTCGAAGCCAGCGCGCGCGTTGAAATTAGGGTCGATGGAGAAAGAGGTGATGCGGAGGCGGTCAACGGAGTAGGTGGGAAGTTTGGGGCGGAAGATGAGGTAAAGAATGCCGGCTGTGGCGGCGATGGCGATGATGATGATTATGAGGGTGAGGATGGAGCAACAGAGACACCGGCCGAAGCAGACGGTGCGTTT